ATATTACTATTATCTTTATAAGGAAATGGCTAATATTACTATTATCTTTATAAGGAAATGGCTAATAATATTACTTTATTATAATATGCTATTTTATAAGGAAACAGGTAATATTACTATTATCTTTTATGAAATGGCTAATATTACTATTATCTTTATAAGGAAATGGGTAATATTACTATTATCTTTATAAGGAAAAGGTAATATTACTATTATCTTTATAAGGAAATGGGTAATATTACTATTATCTTTATAAGGAAATGGCTAATATTACTATTATCTTTATAAGGAAACAGGTAATATTACTATTATCTTTATAAGGAAATGGGTAATATTACTATTATCTTTATAAGGAAATGGGTAAATTACTATTATCTTTATAAAGGAAATGGGTAATATTACTATTATCTTTATAAGGAAACAGGTAATATTACTATTATTATCTTTATAAGGAAATGGGTAATATTACTATTATCTTTATAATGAAATGGCTAATATTACTATTATCTTTATAAGGAAACAGGTAATATTACTATTATCTTTATAAGGAAATGGCTAATATTACTATTATCTTTATAAGGAAATGGCTAATATTACTATTATCTTTATAAGGAAACACGTAATATTACTATTATCTTTATAAAGAAACAGGTAATATTACTATTATTCTTTATAAGGAAATGGGTAATATTACTATTATCTTTATAAGGAAATGGCTAATATTACTATTATCTTTATTACTATTATTCTTTATAAGAAATGGGTAATATTAATATTATCTTTATAAGGAAATGGTTAATATTACTATTATCTTTATAAGGAAATGGGTAATATTAATATTATCTTTATAAGGAAACAGGTAATATTACTATTATCTTTATAAGGAAATGTCTAATATTACTATTATCTTTATAAGGAAATGGCTAATATTACTATTATCTTTACCGATGATATGAATTTTAAGGCGATTTATGTGTTGGAATTATTTTTTTTCTGAAGTAATGTTTTCTGTCTAGCCTTTATTATCATCATAACGTGATATTGTTGAATCCCATGTTTGTAAACGGAAATCCGAACAATAGAAAGCTACAGGTCTAATAGAAACGTGCAGGAAAAACACCTTTAAAAAGGCGGAAGAAATTATCGACTGGAGCTGTGTGTTAATAGCAATAAAGAGGAACATATACCTCATACAATTCTTTGAATAAAATGTATAATTTTATCCTTACTTAGCCTATGTGATTTGTTAAGCAAAAACGTATTTTCAAAAATGCTAATCTTATTCCCTGTTGCAGTGAATTACTGAGAAAACATTTCCTTTTAGAAAATCAATTTTATGCAGATTTGAAATCGCCGTCCTTATTATTATTAATATGATGCAAAAATTTCCAACATTTCTAAATTTTCAAATCATAGTTGTTCACTTAGCAAAGGGCTTTTTTAAAAAGTAATCTTTCAGCTAACTTGTGTATTCCATCTTAAAGAAATATTTAAGTTCCGATTTGATGAATTACCGAATTTATTTGAAAAATTTTTACAGTCCATGAATAAAAAAAGAGTGTTTCATAGAGCGAAAAAGAATCAACCCGGCAGGAATATAATTGATCCAGTCAAGATAGAACTCATTAAAAAGACGAACTAGACAACATCGCCAACTATTCGCCAATACAAGTAGACTGCAGCCTGGATCACAGTCATTGTAGACTCTACGGTCCTTTCATTAGCGGTATAGTATGTACGTCACATAAAGTAATGGGATTTCGTGATGTGCGTTGTGGAGGAATGGATATCAGCTCGGAGTTCGAATTTCCAGCCGAGTTTGTTATATTCAATTACGCAAAAATGCCCTTGGGAAATGTATGAATCTTTTCTTCTCCCACCTTCAAGAGAAGGACAGACTGTGTTGGCAACCAGTATACCGCAGAATGAAATCGCAACATACAGCGGGAATAATCTTCTGGCACTTCTGTCATGTATCAAAAAATACATATTATTGCCCAAACGTGTATGGCACTTACCTGACTGATGTACGTCATGCTGTAGGCCAACATGGGTTTTTCGAATTCAGACCTGTTGGCAACGAAGATCAAAATGACAAGTCTGATGTACTATTTTCTCCACTATATACAACATGTTGTACAGTATTTACATTAGTCGGACTATTGTCCTCATCTTTGTCGCCATATTTGTCACAACGTTTCGGCCGTTGTACGCTCCGGCCTTCTTCAGGTGGTTGGAATTTCGAACTGAACCCTTTATTTCGATCGCTGGGGTAGACTGTTCTAATTCCACGTGCCATGTTTGATGGATGTCAGTTATTAGTTATCTCCTGCTAATTTTCCCTCTGAAAGTTCTCCACTGCCTTAACCAAGAATTGAACTCACCTTCTTTGGGTCTGTCACTGGATCTAACCGATGCCTTTATCCACTGTGCCATGTGTCCTTGATAACATCTGGGTATGAACTTCTGAGTATTATAAACCTAATGTTTTCAGCATCAT